CAGTAGGAGCCTGGCAAGTGTATGCAGAGTGCGTGAGTGAAGGAAGGCTTGCCATTGCTAACGTAAGAAAGGCTGCGGGAGGGAAGAAAAAAAGCCTCAAGTTTCAAACAGGGAAATGGGTCTGGTTTCCATCCTCTGGCAGGGGGTGGTAGAGCCGGGTGCTGTGAGAACCATGTCACTTTTTATTCACATGGGGCCCAGGCAGGAAAGAATCAAAACCCAGTTTGAGAACTTGAGAGTCGCCCTGGGGCTCTGTGGTTTGGAAACTGTAGGGTCAACTTGAAGGCTGCAGTGTGTCACTATTTCCATTACACATTTTCCAGGGTCCCCACTTGGCTGGTAAACTCGGAGCAGATTCTTCTGTCCAGGGGGATGGGAGCAGAGGCCCAGAGAGGTAGGATTTGGGAAAGCTCCCGGTTGGCAACAGGAAGCCCTGCTTGCCCCAGACTGGCTGGATAAGAAGTTCTTGATTACTTGTGCTATTGGGCGGGGGGTGTTAGTAGCACAACCCCCTGCCCCCATAATCCCCAGCAGTTTCAGTTAACCTGTGAGACACATTATACTGCTCCTCCCTGCCACAGGGATGTTGTTTGAAGCAGATTTTTTGGAATAGGTAATGCAAGTAGTATAGAAGGAAGAGTAAGATGACTCCCCCCAGTGTTTCCCAGAGCCCAGCTAGCTTTTTCTTGTGTATTTAATGCTGGATTTCAAGTTAAGGTCAATTTACTTGCAAATGAAGGGTAGGTGAAGTATGCTTAGGAATTAGGGGTGGGGGGAAGGGTATGGGAGATGAAGAGACCTCCTCTGGTACCACCCACAAACAAGGACTTTTGGACACGCTCAGAACACAGTCGGGGGGAGGGATGAATTGGGAGACTGGGACTGACATATATACACTATTGATACTATGTATAAAATACATAACTAATGAGAACCTACTGTGTAGCACAGGGAACTCTACTCAGTGCTCTCTGGTGACCTAAATGGGAAGGAAATCCAAAAAAGAGGGGATATGTGTATACTTATAGCTGATTCACTTTGCTGTACAGTAGAAACTAACACAACATTGTAAAGCAACCATACACCAATAAAAATTAAAAAAAAAAAAACCCAGTGTGCTGGCTCAGGACCTACCCTGCCTTGGTGAGAGGCAATGCGGTGGGTGTGCAGTCCTCGAGTGTCTGGAAGCCCTGGGTTCAGAGGTCTGCTCTGCCCAGCTGTGTGCTTTCATTTATGTGTATTTCTAAGATGGTGTGAGAATGTGATGAAATGTACAGGAAATCACATTGTCATATGTTAATTTTTCATTGTAAAGTGGTCTATAGTGGTTATCATTTTTTTCTTTTTCTTTTTTTTGGCCACACCATGCAGCGTGCAGGATCTTAGTTCCCCGACCAGGGATCGACCCCAGGCCCTTGGCAGTGAGAGCACGGAGTCCTAACCACTGGACCACCAGGGAATTCCCTGTACTGGTTATCATTATTGGCTGGGTAGTGCAGCCATTTACCTGCTGTGTGATATGGCTGTTACTTAACCTCTCTCAGCCTCGGTTTCCTCATCTATAAAATGGGGATAATGATATCTACCAGTTGGGGCTGTTGTGAAGATTAATTATATGAAGTACCCTAAATCTTGTAGGCTCTCAAGACATTAGTTCCCTCCCATAGTGCGCTTTGGGTAATTTGGGTATTCAAAAGCACCCAACACAAGAACTTCAGCAAAACATTTCAACTCCTCTGGAGCAACCATTTGTTAGTACAGGGGCCTATACTGGTATCTTCTGCAGCTCAAGATTATTCCTTCACGAGACATGATTCTGTGTCAGCATCGCTACAGTCTGATTCAGCCTTCCAACTGCTATTATTATCCACACCCTCTTAGAATCTTTAAAGATATGTGAGCAGTCCCTCCAGAATGATTAGTGGGTACCAAAGGCACTGTCCTGGCCCAAGCCTGTGGCTCTTGAGGCTGTCCTTGGACAAATACTGTGAGGTCCTTGGAACCCAGTGCCTGTTTTTAGAAGGAGAGGGCGTGTCCCACCCTCCCCACCCCAGGCACCCTGTAGAGGCTGCCTCAGCCTAGCCACATCATCTGGAAACTTCCACTGCCTCTGCCTGTTCCTGCTACCCCCTCTTTGCCCCTCAGGTCCCCCAGATACTACTATATGGCCCAATGTTTTCTCCCCTGTGATTACCCCAGCCCTTCAGCCTGGGTCCTTCCCATTCCAACCCCAACTCAGAGCATCCTCTGTTCCTTGTCCAGTTCATTCATCATTGTCGCCTCATTCACAGCACTCCTTAGCTCAAGGCAAAAGCTGCACGTCCCTCACCTCCCCCCTCTTGTCACTCAGCTCCCTCAGGCTATATATAGCACAGCTGTGTCTTAGATTGTGTACAGCCTCAAGTCCAAGTCCCCCTCCCCTCCCCATTCCCTTCCCCCCACACAATAAGGAGAACAAGCCTGAAGCTTCCAGTTAGGCAGGGAAGCCCCTCCAACAAGGAGGAGGTGGGGTTGGAGAGGGATGAGAGCGTGCTGAATTCAGGACCACCCAGAACATGGGAACCTTCCCATCTGTTGTCAGGGACTTTCCACTTCTCCCCCAGCCTGTTACCCGTCCCTGCCACTTGCTCATTCTGGAGGAAGAGAAGCAGGCAGTGTGCAGGGGAATTCTAACAATCATCTTATTTAACCCTTACAACGATCCTATAGGTAGATGCTACCTCCATTTTACAGGTGGTGACACACACTCAAAAGAGGCTGAGTGGCGTAAGTCCAGGCATTCAGAGAGTGGTTGGTCAGTGTGACCTGATCTGGAAGAGGTTTATTAAGCGAATTACTAATGTAGAAAGGCTTAAATCAAAGTAATTATTAAAGACTTGGCATGTTAAACAAAAGTGTTATCATAATTTTATCTTATCTGTTTACTAAAACAGGACTACAGAAATCTGGTCCTTGAAGTTTTAATTACTGTGTGTTCTCAGAGGTTCTTGAAATAAAAAGCAATTTTGTTTCTTCTATTTCAAGACTTTCCCCCCACTTTACAGTCATTCTCCTGTTAGTCCAGAGTAGTGAGATTTGACTGTAGGAATGGTTAGAAATCTGGTCCTTTTTTCTCTGTCACTTTCTGTGACCTTGAGCAAGATGTTTAACTCAAGCCTCAGTTTTTCATCTTTGAAATAGGAATAAAAATAATAGTACCTACCACATACCTAATAGAATAATAGTTGTGAGGATTAAATAAAATAACCTACTTAAAGCAATTAGCACATTTCTAGGCTCACAGGTGCTCAGAAGATCATAGCAACTATTATTTTCTTGGTTCTGGGCTGAGATGCTGTGGGAGCATCGACATCATCTCAACGGGGAGAAGTTGAACTTCGCTCTCCATAGCTTGGCCTCCATTCTCTAAAGGGCTTGGAGTTGGTCCTGATTCTTGCACTGTCTCATCCAGACATTTCCATCCTCCCACTTGTGGCCTAGAGCATTGATCTCTGGAGAATTCAGGCCACTGCTGGGACCAGGAGAGGCAGCGCAGGAGTATGTGTGAATGACTGGGAGGAGAGTTCCCATGGACGCTGGGGATATGCGGAGGCCCTGGGGAGATGCTGTGACCCTGGGTCTCTCCCTGAAGCAGTGAGGGCTCGCTCGGGAGAGAAAAGAGAGACGTCAGCTGCTGGACACATTTCCAGTGCTGAAAAGCCCCTTTAGGACAGACACACGGGCTAGGAGAGGAACAAAGGCATGGGATGGAGTGGGACTCTCCACAGTGCATCCGATCTTTCTCCATTTCTTAGCAAGAAGCTACTTTGGAGCCAGCCAGACCTAGGTTCAGATCGTGACACTGCCATTTACTAGCTGTGTACTCGTGGATAATTCATTTAGCCTCTCAGAAGCTCAGTTCCTGGCCTATGAACAAGCTGCTACTTACTGTGTAGAATAGTGGAAAGGTCTGAAATATAAATACTTGAAATAGAATAGGTGCTAATGCCGGTCGTTGTCATCTCTGTATCCTGAGTGAGCGTCACCCCACAGGCAGTATGAAGGGGTCTGGAGATGTGAGGGAAGTCCCAGTTTCAAACTCCTGGACAAATCTCTTTGGCCCAGAAAACATCCTTGGAGGGATCAAGACCAAGACCAGACAGCCCGTCTCTCACAATTAAGGCACAATTAAGGCAGTACAACTTGCGGGAGAACCCAGGATCTCTACCCATCCTTGCCTCTATATTCCCATCTCAGTTCTCCAAATCAAGTCTGTCTCTGATCCAGCCACTTACGTCCAGAGGAATGAAAAGACTGAATTGAGGTAAGGGCTCCCCTCCATCTGATCTTTCATTACTTTCCAGTGCTTGGAGCTCCAGCCTGGAACTCAGCAGATGGGGGGGTTAAGATTGATGCCCTGTCCTATCTCCTCCCCTCTCCATTCCTGACTTCAAAGTCTCCATAAAGCCAGACACTGCTTCCCTGCCCCCATAGTTATAGCTCCATCATCAGCTCTTGGCCGATTCAAAACAGCAGACGCTGAGCCCTGGCTGGGCTGCTTGCACTCCACTTTCTAGCCGTCTCGTAGGGTAAGCACCGGTGTGCTGAGGACCTGTGAGGCCAGCAGTCTTTGCTCCTCCAGGAGAGGAGAGGCAACTAGGAATAGAAGTCGCCTCAAGCAGGGACTTTGTCTCGTGGTTAGACTTAGAAGGCAACCGGCAGGCAGAACCCCTGGTCTAAGGACCAGGACTCTGGGACTCCATCTAGTTTTTGATCAGAGCAGACATTTACAAGGTTAGCAATTAGAGCCATAGGGGTTCCAGCGCAGGGATAAGGCAGGGGGTTGGTACCTGCAAAGAACCTGTCAAGAGATGGACTTAGAGACAGGGGAACAGCTCAGGGACCAGAATTTGTTCCATTAGCCTTAACATCCAAAATCTACACACAAAATTATACACAGATCCATGCCTAATCGTTTCAATCTCTGGCTCTGGTGATTCGGTAACCGGTGCTGTAACACTGGGATGGCTCTGGCTGCCTGGGGCCAGATCTTCTTCTGCAGCTCCATCAGGGACAACCATCACAGACTCAAGGCCAGTGGGGGACCCAAGGTTAAAGGCCTGTTCCTCCCACCCTCATCTGTGGATTTTTCCAGCTGCTTTCCTTGGCTCAAGGATCACACCCAGAGGGACACAGATGGTAGAGGGGGAGGCAGAGAAAACAGTGAAGCTGGAATGATCTGGACAAGAGGCAGATGTTGGGAGGAAGAGACCGAGAAATGGCTCCAGCCGTCTGAGACAGGACACCCAGGACATCTTTTTAAGTAGTGTCTGTGTTGGGCATGGTAAGAGAGGTCTCAGCAGTCCACTCCTTCCCTCCCACCGTTGACTGGGAATTGGAGTTCTTCCTGCCTCCTTCTAGGACTGCTTTGAAGCCTAGGAGCCCCAGCTGCTAACATCTGGGGGCAGGATCATGTCTGCTAACAAAGGCTGGTGGGCATCACCTGAGGGTGAGGACAGCATGTCTGAGAAGTTCCTGAGGAAGACCAGGGAGTCTCTGCTGGTGCCTATAGGTGAGTCGGAGACGAAGGAATGGGAGGCGAGGAGGGGGCCTTCTCTCAGAGAGCATGTCTCCTAGTCTTTTCAAAGAATGAAGCACAGAACTCAAGTGGTCCTACCCATCAAATAATCAACAGCTAGAAGAGAAGTGAACCGACAGCAACGGTGCCGAGGGGCTAAGGGACACATCCTGACGATGAAACGAAGGAGTCTGGATGGCTGGAGGTGGCAGCCAACAAAGCGCATGGGATACCAACACCAGCGTCAGGATGGGCAGAGCAGTTTGGGGTCCCCCAGGGCTCCCTTCCCCCTGGCCCTGGGAGGTTAGAACAGCTGTGGGGGCCGGCAGCAGTTGGAGAAGAGCTAAGGGGGCTGGGAGAGTCATGATGATGGGCTGTTTGTACAGGGAGGAGGGGAGTCATTGGAGGGAAGCACTTTGTAAATATCTGAGAAGAAACAACTCAATGTTCTAATGACAGCCTCTCCTCACCCCACTGCAGCCCCACAGCAGCAGCAGGAAGGCAGCTGATGGTCCAGGTGCCCAGCCTGCCTAGTGAGGTGTCTCTTCACCAGGAGAGCGATGTCCTCGGTGACTGAGGTCCGAGGGGTCGCGTTCTCTGCCCGCGTAGGCTTAGGAGGCTGCGTGGTGGTGGCAGCGTACAGGATTTACCGGCTGAAGCCTCGTGGTTCCACCAGGATGGCCACACGCCTGATTCACACCCGAGTGGCAGCACAGGCCTGTGCTGTGGGTGTGACCACGCTGGGTGAGTAGCTGGTGGGGTCACGGGAGAATGAGGGCAAAACTGGTTAGGCAAAATCTGGCTGTGAGTCCTGACAGTTAAGGGACCATGAGTTCAGTCCCTGTTCCCTACACCAGGCTCCACAGCAAGTCCTTGGTGAGGCCCTCATACCGAGACAGTTTCAGGGTTCCCTGTTTAATTTCCTGTGTTCCAGGGGAAGATGCACAGTCTGTTTTGTTTGTCCTAGAAACGAGAAAATCCATGCAGCAGAACCTATGCTGAATTTCTTTTCCTCTCTGGATCAAAAGGCAGACAGCTACTTACTAGCTGTGCGACAGTGGACAAATCTTTCTCTCAGTTTCCCCACGTGCGATATGATGATAACCACCCCAGCTTGCCTCCCTCATGTACTGCCGTGAGGTTTCTCAGACAGATAATATACGTGAAAGTACTTTGTCAAGTGTTAAATGGGCTGTTTCCCCAGGCTGTGCAGCCAGGTGTTTGTAGCAGCTGTTGTGACCTAGGGCGGAAAGATAAGCAGCAAAGCTGGACTCTCAAGGGGATAGCTACTGTTGGACCCCCAGGACTCTGGAACACCTGAGAGAGCCAGAGGATGGGTGGAGGGTGTGATGTCATGGGGCCTTTTCCCTTCTCCCTCACACAGGTGCTGTGTACACGATGTACAGAGACTACGTCAAGAGAACCACGCAGGATGCTGGGGAGAAGTGGGACTCCTATAGGCCTGGGGCAGTCAGACCTCTTCGATCAACCCCTGGTATGCACCTAATAAAGGAGTTTGAGGCAAATCAAGTCTCTTCTTCACGTAGACGAGAGCAGAGTAAGGGACTGGTAGTGGCTGGTAGGAGGACTTAGAGCCAAGGGCTGGAAATCGGAGTTCTGGCACCAGCTCCAGGGCAAGGAGAATCCTCAGGGGCAGAGGAGGAGGTGCAGCCCTCTGATCCCAGAGACCCAACAACTCCCAAGCCCCCTCAGGTGCCATCCACCAGGAATGGGAGCTGGGGACAGTAAAGAGGCCCCAGTGCTCATGGGAACACTGAGTGAAGAGGCAGGCGTTCCTCCCCCAACAGGCCGCCTCCCTGGGGACCAGGCAGGAAGAAGGCTGCAGCTGGGAGCAGAGTCAGTGCGGCCTCATGGGAGACAACACAGATCCAGAACCCAAGTGCCAGGATGAGCCTGTGCTGGAGGGAAGGGGGCGGAGCGGTAGGGATGAAAAGAACGGAGCAAGGCAGAGGTCAGAATGTTCTGTTCATTTATAAACCATGTCTAAGGTCAAACTGTTATACAAAAAAAATAAAATAAAATAAAAATCCACGTAAATCCTGAGGACAGGGCCCCCTTGGGCTTCAACACTTCCATCCCCTTCTCGTTCCCTGGGCCCAAGATCCTCTCTGTTCTCTGGGAATGGAGCCAGGCAGAGGCCACAGGAGGAACCAGGAAGCCAAATGCTCCTCCGTCTGGGTTGGAGGCTTGGAGGCTCTGGGCTTGTTAAGGGCGGCCACAGCAGTCCCAGACACGCTCTGACAGCACGGAGTCCGAGCCCCACCAGGTCCTAGCTCCGAAGTCCAGGATGCAGCCCCGCGCAGGCAGTAGGAGCCGCCAGGTGTCCGGGCGCTCACATGGGGTAATTGAGCACAACATCCTGCTTGGCGAGCTCCAGCAACATAGGATCATCGAAGAACTTGCTGATGCTGACGTCTTCACTCAGGCCCTGCAGAGTGGGGCAAATGCAAGGATGAGCCCTGCGTGACCGAGCTGTGCTTGAGTGCGGGGAGCGGGTGGGGGTCAAGTGTCGGCTGAGCTGCTTCGGGAGCCCTGCCTTTAGGGTACTGTCCCAGGGCAGGGGAAGGCGCTCCCTTCCCAGGCACGCGGCCCCGGGTCTGATTGCCTGAAGCCTATACAGATCATGACTCTCCACGCTGTGCTGTGAAATGCTTTCAGTCTTTGGGAGAAGGCTCCAAAAGCAAGAAATGAAGAGAGATCCAACTCCTGGCGAGACCCTTGTGGGTGGAGGGAAGGCCGTGGGTCTGAGGGACACGTACCTTCCTACGACGGGTTTTGATCATGAATTCTCGGGCCAGGTGGGGCGCTGGCTGCGGCTCCAAGGGACGGATGACGATGCTCTTGTCCAGAGGATCACCGGGTACGATCTGAAAGGCAGAGTGGTTTCATCAGATGGTCCAGGCCGACCTCCCAGAGCATCCGGCCTAGAAGCAGGGCCCTTATCTAGGATGCTGGCGATCCCCCTTGGGGCCTGGAGAGGAACAGGTCAGCGGGGATGGCCCTGCAGAGGGGGGGACCAGCCTGCGTTCTTTCCTTACCTGCCAATGGTGGAAGACAGACAAGGAAAAGGCCTGCCCCTGCGTGTGAGTCCGCAGATCGGTCTCAAAGCCAAAAGAGTCGATGGCGGGGATGAAAGCTTTGATGGTGTAGAGAGGGGAGCCTGGGATGGGTGCATCCTGAGTCACATGCCCCCTGAGACAGAAAAACAAAGGCTGAGTCCCTAGTCCTGAAGAGGCCAAAAGCAGAGAAGTAGTGTACCCCCAAATGTTGACCATCAAAGAAAGAATAGCCACAAGTGCGCTACGGAGGGCAGAAACGGCTCTTGGCATAGTTCCCTGTGGAAGTCAAAGGGGCAGCAACCTCTGGGCAACAGCACAACACTGACGAGACAAGGACCTGTAGACATGCCCACCACGGACACACCCAAGGAATACTTGCCGCAGGAGCTCTCTGAGGGGGAAGCCCAAGGAGAAATCTCAAATTATAATCTGTGGTAAGGCTGGGGATTGCCTCATTCCTTCCCTGCTTCCTTCTAAAAACCTTGGTTTCAGAAGTGGAGAGTGTGGGGTCCAGTCCCTCCTCCTCCACAGCGAGGTTCCCTCTTGCTGGGCAGCTTGCTCGCTGCCCCCTCCCTTACGTGCCTGGGCGGCTCACCTGCGCCTGGCCAGGACAGTATAAACAGCAGAAACACAATCTGCGGGGGCCTGGACCTCTACGAAGTAGTAGGGCTCCATCAGACGAGGGGTGGCCTGCAAGAGAGCCAGAAGGAAGGGTTCCTCAGCTTGGGGAAGGCTGAGGACCAAGAACCCAGGTAAAGAGAAGGCTGGGGGACAGTAGCCTCGAGGCCCCACTTAATACCCTGCGGCAGGACAGCCCTACTCGCTCACCATGAGGAAGGCAGAGTAGACGACTCTTCTGGCCGTGGGGATGATTTGGCCCCCGCCCCGGTGCAGGGGCTCCTGGGCAACGACTGCATCCAGGATCTTAAACTTGACATTTCGAATCACTGGAAAGGAGAAGGGGGAGCTGACCGCTGAGTGGTTCTGGTGCTAGTCAAGGGCGCACGGGCAGAGCAGCAGGGAGCCTCCTGCAGCACTGCAGCTATCTTGTAGATATGGTACAGAATCAGCCTGCAGACGCGCGTTCTAATAGCATATGCGGAGGTGTGAAGGGAAGCATATGTTCTCAGAGTTGGTTTCAGGCCACGTTCAGACAGCATAACGTGTCCCTAGAAGTTTATGTGTTTCTTTTCCAGATATTTAATTATTTTGGGATGTAGAATAAGTTCTAGGAATTGCACATTTGTTCCTACTAAGTCCAGTCCTGGTCTATAAACCACTCCAATCCCATCCCCCCGATACCCTTCCTGAAACACATTCCAGAAATGAGGAGCAAATGTCAATCTAGACGTGACTTCCATTTCTAAGATGTACCAAGCAGTAGCACCAGAATAGGGAAGGAGAAGGGAGGAAGCTGGCCCAGGACATGGGAAGGCCCTGTAGGCCCCAAGCTGCTGCTTCTACTGGGTCCCAAAGATGAGCCCATCCCACCTCATACACCCAGATGCAAGGACCCTAGAGGCCTGGGGTGGCAAAGGCAGAGGCGCTGGTGGACTTACACTCATCACAGAGGGGCCCCTCCCTGGTTCCCCACTGGAAACCTTGAACGATGCTGTCCTTCACTGAGCCGAGAAGAGCCTTGTCCACCTGCACAAAACATGAGGGCCCCTTAGCAGTGACCCTGGCAACAGCCGAAGAGTTTAGAGGGAGAAGGAGGTAGGTACACCAGTAAAAGAATACTCTTCTTCACCAGAAGATACAAAATACTTTCGGGAAAAATAAGAACACTTTGTAGTTTCTTCCACTCAAGAGCTAAGAGAAGGCCACAGGGCTTCCATTAGTTCTTCTGTACCTCAGAGGGCAGGGTATCATCCACCAGGATGTTGGGGCCGGTGGCATCAGGGCCGAAAGCCCAGATGGAACGGGCAGCCAGCAGATCCCAATCGTACTTGGTCTGGAAGAACTCTCCCAGCTTCTTCCTGGGGGAGGAGGAGAAAATGGTCATGTCAGACAGCTCTGTGCTTGCCCGTTCCTGAGGCCACAGATCCTGCTTTTCTGGATGACAGTCGCCTCAGCCTACCTACACTGTGCCAGGACAGTGGAGACAAAATCAATTCCTAGAGGGAGGGATGTGTCGTGCTAGAGACTCATCAGGTAAGCTGTTCGGCCCTGGAATCAGAGCCACATTCTCACCTGTTCCACGTGATCTGGACCACCTCGTTCTCTATGTCCTCAGCGAGACCCTTCTCAAGAGGCTCAGCAATCATGGTGATCTTGTTCCTAGTCAGAAAGGAAATGGGTAATGAGGAGGGTCAGCAGGTTGACCCTCTAGTCAGAAAGGAAGTGGGTTCTGAGCAGGGTCAGAAGGGTTGTTCCTAAGAAAGCGTGACAAAGGAAAGAGCTAAGGCAGTGACATCAGTGAAAGCCACAGGAGCAGAGTAGAGCAAAAAGGGCTCATCTTCTTACATTTGAATCTATCACTCTTTCAAAAAGTAAAATTTGGGGCATTTTTTAAAAAAGCTTTAAACAGTGTTAGTTATTAAACGGTGAAACAGTAGAGTTGCTGCTAGGGAAAATTTTAAGATGGTCATGTTATACAGAGAGAAAAAGTGGCAATTACGAAACCACTGGGAGTAACTAAGGCAAAGAATTCCACAGCCTCATGTCCAAAGGCACAATGAGAGGGCTGGGGTAAAACTCAAGTACCCTAAGCACCCTCATCCCAAGACTTAGGGGCCTCTACCTGTGTGAGTCCCAGGGTCACTATGACCCCCAGCTTACTTCTTATTGGGAGTTTCAGCAAAGCACTTGAGGGAGGATGTTTCCACGACCGTCTCACAAAATGTGACAACGGGGTCAGCCACCTGAGAAACAAAATAAACTGTTAGGCAAGGTCTAACTGTTGGGAGGACAACCTTCTGCCAGAGGGGATTCCAAGGTTCCCCTGACGCTACCTCTGCAAGAACCCGTCTTTTTTTTTTTTGCGGTACGCGGGCCTCTCACTGTTGCGGCCTCTCCCGTTGCGGAGCACAGGCTCCGGACGCGCAGGCTCAGCGGCCATGGCTCACGGGCACAGCCGTTCCGCGGCATGTGGGATCTTCCCGGACCGGGGCACGAACCCGTGTCCCCTGCCTCGGCAGGCGGACTCTCAACCACTGCGCCACCAGGGAAGCCCAGAGAACCCCTGTCTTGATCAGTGTTAGTGACAAGTACCGTAGCAGCCTGAGGCTAAACGTCTGCACCTAAACTAAGAAGCCTGGAAAACTTAGTGTAGTGCACGATTTATATTCCTGAGCCAAGAGTAAGTGGAGATCAGTTTAGGGCCTACATTATAGTCTCCCAAGGTACCTTCCAACAACCATATAGCCGTCCCACCAGCATTCACTGAACACCGTGGGTCTGTCAGAGCTCTGCCTCGACAGACTGACTGGTGAGCGCCTGTTCCATCCTCAGCCCACGACCTCGGGGCAGCACAGCTCCTCCCAGAAGCCCCCACACGGCCTACTCCCGGAAAAACGCAGCGTCTTCTACAGCACCAGCCCTGGGCTAAGAGGGGCACTTGAGGGCACTCACTCCCATGACCACCACCCATGGCCCTGGAGAAAATATGTCTGTCCACTGAGACCAAGGCTGTGCGACGGGCAGTTTAACTGAGGGGCTACATTAAGACCTCACCACAAGTCCAGAAGAGCCAGTCCCCACGCTCTCCTCGAAACCATCCACTCTGAGCCCTAATCACCACAGATGGCTTAGCTGTGCAACCATTTTCTTAACAAAAGATCAAGAATAACTTTGGCTTGGGAGGCTTGACTCTGAATGTTTGACACTGAGA